TTTATTAGTATACTAACATTTCACAAAATTACAATGCAGTGGCGAAGAATAATTTATAATTGTGAAAAACATAAAGAATCTGATTGTTTTAATGATATTGAATAATTTATATTTTTATAAATTATTGTATTACTTTCAAAGAGCATGAATTATTTGGAAAACTAATAAAACTGCAATTGTGGAACTTATCATCAACTTGGTTATGAGCTGGTGTCAGGACTGTGGTGGCTGAGCCTCACGACCTCGCCACTTCGTCTCTCCCATTTGTCTCCCAGGTCTCACAGCAGCTGCCCTGTGCCCATCTCACGTTGGTATGCACGTTGCGGAGTCTAGCAGACCCAGGAAAGCACTGGACTCTTCCACTAGACTGAAAACTCCCTGCAGGCAGGGCCATTTCTTGCTCACTTTTCTATTCCAGTGCTTATTTAGAGCACTTGATAACATCAGAGGAATAAATTAATAGACATCCAGAGAGTATCAGAAAGAAATAAGATTATGAATATTCATTTTTAAATCCAACTCTAGGGCCAGGCACGGTGGCTCATGCCTGTAATCCTAGCACTTTGGGAGGCTGAGACAAGAGGATTACCTGAGGTCAGGATTTCAAGACCAGCCTGGCCAACATGGTGAAACCCTGTCTCTACAAAAAATACAAAAATTAGCTGGGCACAGTGACAGGTGCCTGTAATCCCAGCTACTCCAGAAGCTGAGAATCAGGTGAACCTGGGAGGTGGAGACTGCAGCGAGTTGAGATCATGCCTCTGCACTCCAGCCTGGGTGACAGAGCAAGATTCTATCTTAATAATAAAATAAAATAAAATCCAACTGTAAACATCCTCCTGAAAAGGAAAAGTATATTTCTTAAGTGTATATTATAACTCCAACTGTTAGTCAAGTCCTTCTGTATTTTAACAACCAGCTAGAAGTCACTCTGAACAGCAACATCCATTTGGAAAAAATCTACGGGGCTCGCAAGTCCCTCCCTCTCCATTTCTAAAACATTACCAACCAAAATGCAGCACGCTGGGAGACTAGGGTGTGCCCTGTACACTTGACTAGAAAACACAAACTTTTTTTTTTTTAGATGGAGTTTTGCTCTTCTCACCCAGGTCGAGTGGTGCAATGACCCAATCTCAGTTGACTGCAGTCTCGGCCTCCCGGGTTCAAATCTCCTGCCTCAGTCTCCCTCGTAGCTGAGATTACAGAGGTCTACCATCAGACCCAGCTAATTTTTTGTATTTTTAGTAGAGATAGGGTTTCACTATGTTGGCCAGGCTGGTCTCAAACTCCTGACCTCAGGAGATCCACCCACCTCAGTCTCCCAAAATCCTGGGATTACAGGCATGAGGCACCGTGCCCAGCAGAAAACACAAACTCAAATTCCAACTCTGCCATGACTAATCTTGGTGTAAATTCCACTTCTGCCTGTGATCCTGCAGGACCTGGGAAGTAGGAACGGGCACCGGGGCAGCGTGCAGGATGATAACCTGCACAGACCACCCTCGAGCTATTTCCTAGCCTCCTCCACACAGAAACTTCCACCAATTTGCCCTCCAGGGGTGTTCCTGTGAAGGGGAAACGGGAAGGCCAGGCCGGTGACTCTCCCCATAACCTCAGATTAATGCAAAGCAGCTTCCTCTGTCTATATTTTCTAAATATTTCCAAGAAAGTTTTTGAGAGAAGAATCTATACTTCATCATAAAGCTTGAAAAGCACAGTTACAGATAAATCCAAAGACGTGTGGCAGGAAGGGCTACCATTTACTGTGTGCTTATTATGTACTGGGTCACTTAAAACATGAAAATTTCATTTTACCCTCACCACACCTTTTTGAGGTAGAGAGTAGTTATCCCATTTTTAGAGAAAGGGAAACTGAGGGTCAGAGAAGAGAAATCTCAAATCCAGCAAGGACTGAAAACCCTGATGCAGTGACTGCTCCACAGGAGCCGTCCAGCTCCAGATACCTGTGGCTTCCCAACCTTCTCTTCCCGAACCCCCCACACGCCCCTCTTACATGTATAATTAAATGCTCGTTCGTGTATCATCATAGATTAATTAGCTCATTATCAGTCCATATGAATGAGTCTTTGTTGACTTTTGACTTCACAATGATACCCATTCATTAAGAGTTATTTCCTGTGCATCTAATAGATGCCTGGTCCTGGTAAGGTCCCAGGACTAAAGACTGCCAAGACATGGCTCTGCCTTCAAGGGAATCACAGGCTAGCGGGAAGAGATATGAAAACCAATCAACGGAAATACTAAAAACTGTACCATAGCCATATGTACTGCGAGCAGTGTGGGGATGGGTCATGGCAAGAGAGAAAGGGAGATGACTACCACCTTCTTCACTGTTAGTATTTAATGATATTCATTTTTGACATGTTTTCTGGACATACTGAGATAGAAAAAGGCTCAGACACCAAGATGTCATCCTCATCCCAAGACAGAACTATTCCAAGAGGTAAGATAAACCAAAACTCATCTGTTTTTTTCATTGTCCCTAGAGAACAGTTTAGCTTGAAATACATTTTTTTAAAAATGCCTCTCAAAGTAATTCTACCCCTTGCCTTTCCTCTGAGAAGTTCCTGTACTGTTTGAGCCAAGGAAAGATATTGTTCTACTGCAATTCCTTGCTTACCCCAAAGCCTTCTTATGTTTCTAGTTGAAACGGAATGTGAGCTTTAAACCTACGTTTCGCTTATTTTCTAATCCAATAATAACCCGACTACTGGGTCTCTAAGGACAGCAGCCAGACAGCTTAACATGCAAGCATTAAGGCAAAAATCCCTGTGGATAATCTCAAACCAGTCTTTTGTTTTCAGTTTTCGTTTTTTCTTGAGCAATCCAACTGCCCCCATAAATTCTTGCCTTTCAGAATATCAACAGTGAAAACAATTGTCATGGTAATAAGCTACTGCTAAGAGCAAAATGCATACCACAGAGCAAAAATCAGCATATACATACACAAACACTACTGAAAAGCAAGACAAAAAAAAATGTGATACACAAAACGGCATAAATGCATAATCAACTGTTGTCAAAATGCACAAATTATTCGAGCTCTGAAAATGTTGTCAAAGAAAATAATTCAAATGAAGAAAAATATGAAAATGCTTTCTCACAACATGATATGTGATAATAGAAAATTGAGACAGTGATAGAGGTGTGGCTAAGTAAATTACAGGCCATTAAAAATGATTATTACAAAGCCTGAGTAACAGCATAATGTTACTGATATGTCTTTAAGTTAAAAATAACATAACTGGGTATCTAACATGATTGCAATACAGGAAAAAAAAATCTGTTAGCATAAGGACCATAGAATCACGCATAATGTTTTAAAATTTTGCTAGATATTATAATATTGTCTTTACAGTAAAACAAAAAAAAATTCAGAGTAAAATAGATGATGAGTCACTGCCTGACAATTGTCACTGTGTAAGAAAGTCCCCTTTTCAGGGACAACAGCAGGTGGTTAAATGTGAGCACAGATTCCAGGTTCATCTCACTTATCCCACTTTATTTATTAATGTTGACCTTCGAGAAATTAAAATTAATCTAGTCAGCAAATTAAACTCTGATTTCATTTGATTATCAACAAGTAACTAGTAAATACTGAGAGATGCCAAGACATGAGATCTGAGAGCAGTATAGAGAGGAGGGCGGGGGAGAACTGCAGATGAGAGGGATCTGAGCCTCAAAGACCACAATGGGTTTCCCAATGTCCAAGCATGGGGCATTTGTGATCTTGGCTTCTCGATGTAGGCAGATGTTAGAAGCACTTAAAGATTACTTGTATAAGTTCAGAAAGCACCTGAGGTCCTGCTGACCCTACTGCGCCCCTCCACAAAACTCCCAAGCTCCACATGACCACTATCCACACGGCTGGAGCCACATGACATCCCTAATGGATGCAGCTCTGTCTCCATCTCCACAACCAGCCCTGAGCCAAGGGTGACAGGGTGATTTTCTTCATACGTTTTTGCCGGCTTGTTGTTAAAACAAACATGACGTAAAAGTTGTCCTTTTCACCATCTTTAACTGTACAGCTTTGTGGCATTAAGTACATTCACAGTGATTGGCAAGCATCTATCTCCAGAACTTTCCACCAACCCATACTGAACCTCTGTACCTCGTCAATACTAACTCCCAATTCCCCCTTCCTCCTGGCCCTGGTAACACCATTCTCCTTTCTGCCTCTATAGATCTGACCGCTCTAGGTCATCATGAAAGTAGAATCATGCAGTGCTTGTCTTTTGTGACTGGCGTATTGCACTCAGCAGAATGTCTCCAAGCTGTACCCACGTGTAGCATGTGGCAGCATACCTTCCTCTTTTAGGCTGAACAATGCGTTCCACTGTATGCATATGTCATGAGACCGAGGGTTTGCAGGGGCTGCAGCTCATCTCTCTTGAGATTACCATCAGGTCACACTTGTCACTGTCCCAGTCAGCCCTGAGTGAAATTCTGAGAAATAGGACCCCTTTTCAGTCTGAGGCCTCAAGCTGTGTCATCCTTGACTTCCACTACTTCTCTGGTGGTCCTCCATTTAGGAACCTAGAATTCCAGTCCTTCTTCCCAGGATCTGGACAATCTCAGCTGTTCACCCCAGAACCATGGGCTCACTGCTTGTCCAGAGGTCCTGCCTTGGACGGCACCCTGGCCACCAGTCAGCACACCAATATCTCGTCCCAAAGCCAAGACAGCAGCCACCAGCCTAAACTGCCTGGATTTCACTGAGTTCATCGCTGCTCTAACTGCCAGGCAGATCTCTCCCTCTCCATTCCTGCACAGGAGGAGGATGTAGTTCTGAGATGCACCTTCCTTCTGGGGAAATCTATGCCGACAGTGAGCCCAGCCTCCTGTTCAGATTTGGACTTTCTTCCCTTCTACTGCCCATCACCAAACACCTCTCTGCAACTTCCCTGTGTCTGTCCAGACCCTCAAAAGCTAGACCCAAAACAGAGTCCAGAAAGCACATGTCCAGGTACACTCACAGCCAGAGGGAGTTCCTCCCCTGTGTAATGACACCGGTGAATCTGGTCAGGCGCCGGGCGTCCACTTCAATCCACTGGTGGAGATCATTCCTTCCTGCGCACCATGCTCCATCATAAAAATCATTTTCATTAATGCCCGCCTAGAAAGAAAGAAAGCGGTATTCTTCAAAAAGACTCTTAATTGAAGAAAATTAAGGCACATCTTTTCCTGAGACTGAGAGGAAGGGAGGGGGGGAAAGGAGATATAATGAGAAAGGTGTTAAAGAAAAAAATAATAGTGCCCTGACCTCCTTATTCTAAATGATAAAAGGGAGTTACTCAGTATCCACAAGTTGAAAATATTTCAATATGCCATGTCCTCTTTTTGCACAGTCTGAAAGATGAAACTTAAGGAGTCCTCCTACTACTCATTCATCTAGCACACATAAACCATCTCCCACACAGCAGCCCACGCACGCCAGGTGCTGGGGACGCAAAGGTGAATCGTTCCCTCCCAGAACCTCCCCATCCAGGCAGGAAGAAAGATGTGAAAATAGATGAATTAGAACACAGTGGGGCCTGTGCTATTTCGGGAATATGAGCAAACCGCTGTGGGAGCATTTAAGGACAGAATCACTAACTTAGTGTGGGGCAAACCATAGAGAGAAAGCAAGCCCCAAGACTAAGGTGATACTTTAACTAGGTGTTGAAGGATAAGATGATCCAGTGAATGTTTGTTAGTATTTAAGTCATTTGACGTGTTCAGTATCAGTTGCCATTACTACCAAAATTCTTTTTTTTTTTTTTTTTTTTCAGAGATGCAGTCTATGTTGCCCGGGCTGGCCTCAAACTCCTGGGCTTAAGTGATCATCCCTCCTCAGCCTTCTGAATAGTTGGGACTACAAGCGCACACCACCATGCTTTGCACTGTCATGCCTGAATATCCAAGATAGGTAAAGTTTTTGCTCTGGAATTTTCTCTATATTATCACCATGTGAAGAGATAATTTTCTGAATCCCTGCCTCCCAAAAAGGACATTTGAACGAAGTGAAGCATCCTTGTTTACTAAGACCCATTCTGCATTAACCCTATTTTTCCATGGCTATTTCACAAAGGAGTTTCTTATTACCAGATTTAAAAAAAAAAAAATCTGAATGATAAAAATGATCAGCCAGCCCATCTTCCCTATCTCTGAGCACTTTCAGCTCAAATTCTGGGGACAGCCTTACTTTTAATGGGCAGTAGAAAGGTGAAATTAAGAGTCCAGCTGTAGGAGTGAACAACTTGGCCAAGGATTCCACTAAGCAAAACTCTGCCCATCGCTGCACCAGGTAACATTAGCATTGTATCAGGACAAAACCACAGCACAGTGTTAGACATCTAAGGCTTAGCAGATAAGAACAGAACTGCCACATAACCTGAGACATGTACCCTATAGAATCATGAAAACTAGAAGGAACTGTCCATCAAAGTCTACTGACCAGGATTTGAAATTAAATTTAAGGCTCCTGGTTTTGCCAGACTGAATATTTTGCTTCTGCTGCCAATCTCAGTTCTTTCTGAGCACACTGGACAGTCAATTAAATGTAGCAGAGTGTCAGAGGAATGGAGAGCCCTTCCCAAAGATGACTCATTGGGAAGTGACAGCCACCTCTGCAAAATCGATTATGAATTTAAAAAGCAAGTGTCTGGGAAAATTCAGTGAAAGAGAAGGTACCAGCCCCAGAGATGCTACAAAATTATACCATCATGCAATAAATGATATTCATATGATGCCTCTAAGAAACAATTAGAAGAATGCATTCATCTCTTTCTCTTTAATAATGTAGGGAAATCACTGATAAATTCTGGAGAAATTTCAGTTAAAAGTTGGTGAAATAAAAGGTTTTATTCTTTAAGGGGTAAGCTAGTCTTGAAAACATCACTAACATGGAATCAATCTTTCTACTACAGTACCGAAAAAACTGAGAATTCATGTAATTTTCTCAAGGAAATTTAATTATATGCATTTTTTAATGTAAAGAAAGCACACCAATGCACCTAACAGACTCAATTTTGCTTAAGATAAATATGGGAATCATCAACTCTATAACAAAGAGAAAACCTGATACTGTCTAAGATCAATCTAATAGGGTTTTTCTGTTTCAAGATGATGGGACAAACACATTAGTTTTTCTGTGTTCTTCCCTCAAAAGTCAATCCCAAACAAAGCAAGATACAGAAATACAACTTTGATCTCTTATAAAACCAGAAGACATATGAAAGTTCTAAAATACAATATATGAAGATAGAATCAGATGGAGGAATCCTGAAGGACTCGGCAAGAGAAGGAAGTGCAAACATCAAAACCGCACAATGAGAAGCAAGCCACTCTGAACCTTAGGAAAGCCAAGAACCCAAGTAGAAGGTATCTTTGGAAGGTGAGGGTGACGCAGGACTCAACAAGTAATTGCTTCAAAATGTGTATTAAAAAAACAATTAGGCTGGACACAGTGGCTCACATCTGTAATCCCAGCTACTCAGGAGGTTGAGACAGGAGAATAACTTGAACCAGGTGGGGAGAGGCTGCAGTGAGCCAAGACTGCCCCACTGCACTGAGCGAGCCAAGACTGCACCACTGCACTGCAGCCTGGGTGACAGAGCAAGACTCAGTCTCAAAACAACAACAAAATTAGTTCCCCATATCTCCACCCCAACTCCACAGAGGGCCTGAAATGTTTCTCTAAAAAGAAAGCAAACTGTAGAGACTCTGGATTGGAGACACCAGGCACAGAGAAGAGCAGGGGTGCCATGATGGATAAAAACAGTAACTTCTGTGGGTATCAGCACAGTAAAGAGTGAGATGCCCCAGCTCCTTCCCCCAACCAGCTATAGAACACCATGCAGCCAGGCTTGTACAAATAGAAAAAAAGAAATGCAAACCTTAATGGAGAGCAGAAAAAAGACTAAAAATTTAGAATTGAGATGTCTAGAAAGGTCTTGATTTCATGAAACAAGAACAGGATGCTCTAAAAAAGGAAAAAGCACTAAATAAGAAAGAGCTCTTGGAAATTAAAAATGTGAAAGTTGAAATTTTTTAAATGTTGGCAACTTTCAAAATAGAAAGGCCTTCTATTTTTAAAACAGAAAGGCTAAAAAGATAAAGAAATCTCACAAAAAGTAAAACAGAACACAAAAATAGACAACAGAAGAAAAATAAGAAAAGCAGAGGAAGAAATCCAGAAGAATTTTAGGGGGAAAAAAACTACCAAATAAAAACTATACTTTCTCAGTTAAGTCTCCAAAACATGAGGAAACTAGTATATATAATAAACAAATACACCAAGGCACATCATTTTGAAACTTCAAAACATCAGAAATAAAGAAAGGATTCTAAAAGTTTCCAATGAGGAAACAAGCAGTAAAATGAACACATACGAAGAAAAAAAAAAGAATTAGAATGGCACCAGAATTCTCAATAGCAGCATCTGAAGCTAGAAGGATGGAGGGACAGTGCCTTCAACATTCTAAAGGGAAAGATTTTTCATGCTAGAATTTCTACACTTAGCCAAACTATCAATAACAATGGCAAAATAAAGACATTTTTAAATTCACAGATTCTCAAAAAATGTATTCTTCATACACCATTTCCATGAAGCTACTAAATCAGCAGTTCCCAACCTTTTTGGCATCAGGGACCAGTTTCATGGAAGACAATTTTTCCACCAACTGGGGGTAGGGGATGGTTTTGGGATCATTTAAGCATATTATATGTATTGTGTACTTTATTTCTACTGTTAGCACATTGTAATATATAATAAAATAAAATTATACAACTTGCCATAATGTAGAATCAATAGGAGCCTTAGCTTGTTTTCCTGCAACTAGACATTGTCATCTGGAAGTGATGGGAGGCAGTGACGGATCATCAGGCATTAGATTCTCATAAGGAGCATGAAACCCAGATCCCCTACATGCACAGTTCATGATAGGATTTGCGCTCCTTTGAGACTCTAATGCCACTGCTGATCTTTATAGGTGGTGGAGCTCAGGCCACAACACAAGCAATGGGGAGTGGCTATGAATACAGATGAAGCTTCACTCTCTGGCCTGCCACTCATTTCTTGCTGTGCAAGCCCTTTTCCTAACCGGCCACAGATTGGTACTGGTCTGTGGGATACTGTACCAGAGGATGCACTCCACAAAAATGAGGCAAAACACTACGGAGAGGAATATATCAGATCCAGAAATCAAGGGTTCCAACATAGGAGAGAATTCTCAGAACGATGGGGAAGAAGACCCAAGACAGTAGCCATGTAGGAGACCCAGAGAGTAGCACATTCAGAAAGCAGCAAGTGAAACGGCTTCTGAAGGAGTGTCTAACAGAAACATAAAACAAAACAGGACTAAAAACCACTGAACAGATGTGGCTGTCTAAAAAATGATATAGACAGTGTTTTGTTTGTTTGTTTTTACAGATCCAGACCTATTGCAGGGTGTGGGGAAAAGATGTTCTTAAAGGTATAAGCAGGTCTAGGAAGAGAAAAGGTTGTTACAAAATGATATAAAATAAATATTTCCTGACTCAAAATTAAAGTATTTCTTGGCTCAGTGAGTAGGAAGCAATATTTTCACAGTCATAATAATGAAAACCTTAGATACTGATTTACCCAAAAATTGAGCTACAATTTTATTGGAAAGATGGAAGAGTGGAAAAGAGTGATAAAAATGTGTGAAAGCCTCATTTTCCATAATAGGGATCTAAAAGATAAAGTCTAAATTTATAAATTGATACAGATCAGTATGTACATATTATTTAGAAGTGAAGATTTCAGGCCAGTCCTGGTGGTTCACATCTATAATCCCAGCACTTTGGGAGGCCAAGATGGGTGGATCACTTGAAGTCAGGAGTTTGAGACCAGCCTGGCCAACATGGTGAAATCCCGTCTCTGCCAAAAACAAAAACTTAGCTGGGTGTGGTGGCACACACCTGTAATCCCAGCCTCTTGGAAGGCAATTGCTTGAACCTAGGAGGCAGAGGTTGCAGTGAGCTGAGACTGCACCACTGCACTTCAGCCAGGGTGACAAAGACTCCATCTTTAAAAAAGTGAAGATTTCAATTCCCAAAGAGACAATTAAAAAGAGTTTCCAGTAGCTGGGCCACCAAGGGCCAGGTAAAATG